CGCGCTATATCACGAATTGGACCACTAGATCGGATCCCAGTGGCTTAATAGTCTGCGAGCTAGATCGCCTTGTAACCAGAAGGTCATGGGTTCGAACCCTGTGGTGGGCGCGTACTACTGAAGAGTCCCAAACTAGGCCGAAACAGCTGTCCAGTACTCCCTGCAGGTTTTCCAATGGTTCTCTAACTGTTGTCAGCTCATGATGAAATCCTCCAACAGATGAATAATTATCACAAATTCTCAGACCTAATGTATTATCCCGATTATATGTATCTTCTTAAATACTAACAAATGATACACGTAGGCGGCGGCCTGATTAACACTTGGGCTACCAAAAATCTCCATAACTGTATTTCACATAATTTCTTTTGTTCACTTTGTTTTAATCTATTAAGATATGATCACTGTTTACTTTCGCAAGTATTGAAAATCTTTACATCCCACTGATTCGGAAAATTCTACTAAACTTGAGAAGAAGCATAATCACGCGAGTGGCAACTTATCCCAATACACGGGATAAATATTCCCGAGTTATGTCCTTGGGTCATAAAATGTACTCCTGAAATTTCTACAATTAGCTTTCAAGCGAATATCGTTCATTTTTCGAAGGAAGCAAAGAAAAATAACATCATAATGAGGTCAGACAGCACTGTGTCACGCAATCTGCTAACAATTAATATTTATTTATTTAAGAATAAAGTTCAAAGGTGATTTATCGAAAGACATATTAAGCAGTAGGTTGAGCAGATTAACATTCAGTGATGCAGAACTACACATCAGTTTGTCAACCAGATCGATACTGATACAGTGCACTTAAGATAAATGACCAAAAATGACCACGTCAGTGTGTGCATACAAATTCAACTACTCATTTGCAGCTAGTTAAGTAGGTCGAATTCAGAGGAATTTATCTTTATGTACTCGTGAACATGTCCCTGTTTGGCTTAGAAAAAGTAACCAAATCGATAAATTAGTATTATTCTATTTTTCCTTTAGTTCCTAGAGGAATATAGGGCTTCAGCCACACGTCTCCAGTGCGCTCCGTTCTTCGCCAACGTTTCCACATGGCTCGACGTCTGCCCACATGCTTTCATCTCCTCTTCGCATCACCTCATCCTTGTCATACTCACAATAACAACCGACTACCCACTTCCTATTCAGGTTCCACTCGACCGATGGCTTTGTATATGCTGTCACATGATGGTTTGCTTTCTCATAGTATGGCCAATCCACCTCCATTTCTACCTACATATTTGTTGCACAATTGGTTCCTGCCAGGTTGGTTCACTCCCAGAGATCCTTGTTGCTGATCTTTTCTGGCCATCTGATCTTGAGCGAAGACAGCTATTGATGAATATCTGCAGTTTGTTCGAAGTGGCCTTCATGACGCGGCGCAGCGCCAATTCTCTGATCCGTATAGAGTAGCACTGACTGACTTCACATTGGAGTTGAAAATCCGGATCTTATTTTCATTTTCATGCTGAGTGCTGTTGATCTCCACACAAACTTGGTGAGAGTAGTGAAACCTGGCCTTGCTCTCGCATTCCTCGCTTTAATATCTTCATCGGTTCCGCCCGCCTGTAGCTGAAGTGATGCTTCCCAGGTTGCTTCTTTCAGATTGTTTCTCCCATTCATGCTGACTGATTGTTATCTGTTGTTGTTGGGCAGCAATCTTCATCACCACTGTTTTCTCTATGTTCACCTGAAGTTCTATCTTTGATGCATCTTCTGCCACCTTGTCGATAAATCGATAAATAGTGCCATTTTATCTCATTTAGTGGATAGTGAACACCACGGTTGTATATTGTGTACCAAACAATCTGCCTAAAGACACACAATTACTTCTCTTAGCTACAGTGGAATCTATTGAGATTAATAAGAGGAAACCTAATTTATGTGTGCTTCATAGTATACAGTTGTTTACCTGTACACACATTATTGTACATAACATATTTTTCTAACTCACTTATCCGTGACCATGACCTTTATTCGAAAATGTTAAAGTACATACTGTTTACAGTATGTTACAAGATAGACTAATAATAATAATGTACTTAGAGCGGTGATTACACATCATGCGATTGTGTTCATATTATCTTCATGTCTATTCATGACTCAAACGTGATTGGAGAAGGATTTTACATTTAATGCTCGCTAGTAACTTGCTACAGGAAGGAGTTTCCTGGAGTTCTAGTGAGAAGTCGTCACCAATGAGGTCCATCTTGTCGGCAGTGAGGATGGAGTTCCCGCCGATGACAATGGTTGGTGGTCTCTCTAAAAATCTTGAAATGGTAGAAATTAGAATTGATGGTCCGGTGAGTCGGGTCTCAGTGGCTGAATGGTTTACGACCTTGCCTTGTAAGTGGAAGGCCATAGGTTTGATACCCACTGGATGCGTAAGGCCGATGGTTCTCAAACTAGCGTGAAACATCTGTCCAGTACTCCCTGGTTTTCAATGGCGCTCTAAATGATATCAACCCGTGGTGAAACTCGAAAGTATTTTATGGACAAGATGACTTTATATTTACACACGTATCAATATATACCTTTATTATTTTAATTTCGATCATTTCCCTGATGAAATTCGGACAAGTTTGTCAAACGAGATTTATACAAATGTACTCCTAGTGTTGATTTTCAGGGATTCGATTGGTTACAGGAGTAATTACGGGCTGATTTCAATGAGAGAACATTGGAAAACCAAAAGGGAGTATGAGACAGATGTTTCGACAGTCTAGTCTGGAGGCCTTAATCAGTGCGCCCCCACCGACAGGGTCCCAACCCAGGACCTTGCGGTTAGGAGGTTATCTCATAGACCACTAAGCCACTGGGAACCAATCCAGTGGCCACCACATGAATTCCAACCTCTGTCAATTCGTGATACGTATGTTTAGTGCAACCTCTAGCCAATGTCCAGTACTCCTAGGTTTTCCAGTGGTTCTCTCACTGATATCAGCTCGTGATCAATCCTGGAACAAACATATGTCTACTTTTCAGTCGTCGTCCAATGTTGTATGTGACATTTTTTCCGTTAAATCTTGATTAGAGCTCATACAAGCTTAATAAACATCATTTAGCACAGTGGATAGAAGTGGTCACTATAGTATCCTCCTTTTCCTTCAGAACCTTACTTGCGATTTATTAAAATCTTTGCATAATCAAAAATAATTTCTCCTGATGCTAAACCAACTTCAATTTTTAGCAGTTGGGTCACTTATTTGAATTTCAACAAAATATAGAGAAGACATAACTGATCCGAAACGTATAACGTGTACTTGTGCAACACTCATTCAGAACGTTCTGATCACACTCACTCGTACTTATCCTACATGTTTATTATGTAAACGTTCACAGAGTATGAGAGGTAGGAAGTGAACTTAGAATGCAGTATTTAGTAATATTTATCACAGTGTATTTTATTCAGTAAAATTGTCCTCTTACAAAACATGCTAACATGTAAGACATTATTATCACAGATAAGGTCCCTCGGTGATTCAGTGGTCTAATACCCCAATAACCGTGCAAGTAATCCGGTTTCGCTTCCAGACCGAAGCACTACAACGATTCTTTTAACTTATATTTGACCCAGACAAGAAGGAAGGCTTGGAATAAGACTAGCAACCCAACCTCTCACAAATAACACCATCCATACTGAAAATTCAAGCCCAGTATCGAATTTTCCACACACAGTGCAAAGGAACGAGAGAAATCACAGATAAAAGTCTTGAGGAAATCGATGGAAGTATTATAATGTTAATATCCATTCGTTTTAAAATTGATTTACTAAGGTAGGGAAAATGTAATGACATACAATTTCTGGACATATAAAACAGGTTTAAGCTTTTTTATGGCTGGGGCTTCAATATATCAACTGTGTGACCTGCATGCATCGTGCAATTTTAATACTACCCTTAAACCATCACATATAGCGTGTCTGAATCACTAGCCTCATACCCAACGTTCCCTCTTCACCGGCCACCTTAGTAGGGTACAGGAGTGCGTCAATCCAGGACTGAACCCCGGAGAGTGTGTGTGGTTTCCTAGCCTACTGGGTAATCCAATTTTAAAACCAAAGATGACATATGTAGCAATACTTCCAACTTTGTTTTCTTAAACTCTTATCTCTTATTTCAGCACCATAACTTTTGTCTCCTTCCCAATATCTAATTTCTCCTAATGAATAAACTGATATTTCCAACCATTAAGAAAGAATTAGGAAGACAACTTCATGCGTGATCAGTTTGTATTGAAATCTATAGCTCTAACTTGTTAAAAATTTCAGTTCTTTTTTATCCCATGCTTTCTAAGTCGTGCACACAGTTTCAAGCTCTGAAGTTATAGTAGCAATGTTGCTGTTATTTCCACATGGTGGGGTTGCTAGCTTCAAACCCAATCATCCGTCTTTTCGGAAATTACTTCCGGCTCAAAGAGGTTTAGGAATACGTCTACCGGGAATCGAACCTCAACCTCCGAAATTCTACTCACAAATTTCAGTTGGCCCTCATCTGTCTATCAAGCTCTCTAAATTTCATTGGTTGGAGTATTTCATAATGAGCTAACATCAGCAAGAGAACCATTAGAAAACCTGGAAATACTGGACAGCTGTTTCGGCCTAGTTTGAGAGTCTTCATTAGTACGTACCTACCGCCGAGGTTTCAATCCACGTGCACCCCTTGCCACCAGAAGGTCCTGGGATCAAACTTTGACGGTATGTGCGTACTGATGAAGAGTCCCAAAGTAGGCCAAAACAACTGTCCAGTACTCCCAAGTTGTCCGATGGTTCTCTAACTGATGTCAACTCATGATGAAATCCTCCAACCAATCAGAGAAAAATTCCTACAAAACCAATGCTCTCTAAATTTATGGTCACTATCGTAGTCATGATTTATGGATGGAAGTTCTATACCCACTAAGATTTATCTAAGTACATGCAGTGACTGGTTAAATGTATTTCACTTTTCTAATAAAACAAAATTCAAAAAACAAAAGTTAAATCTTACCTCATGTAATGCTGCTTCAAGGATTTCATTCTTTGTTACACAATCCCAACTTGCTACACCGAATGCCATCATTCTATTGCCACCATAGGCATCTGTATAATCACGTACAGCTTCACCAGTCAGCTTCATTACACCCAAATGAAAACCACCAGTTACAATCCAACAACCTGTAAAAGGTCAGCGCACAAATAGAATTTAAATAAACAATTATTGACTAACAGTTAAGTGAATCTTTACCATAAAAATCAATAAGTTTATATGACTCTAAGATGAAGTTTGACATTATTCAAAGAGCCGTTGTATTCTAAGCAGGATCCAGTAATAATTTTGTTCTAGTCAAAGACTCCTCAGTAATTCTCACTGATGATCCGACAAATTATCAAATTCAAAATGGCAAGATAATGAGGTAAATAGAGAAACACTTAGAGTTGACATCCTTATCCTAAAGGTGAGACGATGCTGAACAGATAAGTGAAGGCATTGACGTAATGAAGTTTATTCCGTTGACGGTGGCTGATGATTGTCATTGTTGGTCAGTTATCTTGACCACCTGTCTCTTCTATGTTGCCACTTGAAGTCCTGCCTTCACTGACGGCCTCTTCCACCAGCTTGTTAGTTTTCTCCTGTGAGTATTCTAATTCGTGTGACAAATCGTCCGCGAGATCGAGATTTTGTACAGTTTTCTTATCGATTCAACCTATCGCTGTCTTCTCACTCCTCATAGTCCTACGCATAGTCCAGTCGACTACAATTAGGAATTTCATTGATGCTACAAGGTAGCCTTGTCTTACTCTTGTCTCCGCTTTAAAGGCTTCAGTGAGTTTCCTGTTATGGATCACTCAGCACGTGCCATTATCATATAGCTATTCTGTGTGGTTGATAAGGATTTGGGGCATGCCTTAGTGTTGAAGTATTTTCCGAATTACTTCAAGGTTAGCGATATCGAAAGATCTATTAAAGTCTGTGAAGTTGAAGTAGACATTTAACTGCCATTCCATGCTCCGCTGGATGATGATACGTAGAGATACAATTCTGATCTCCGCATGATGACAATGCCACGTGTCAGGTGATCCACAACGGAAAACTCAGCGAGGCGTTTGAAGTGCTTACAGGAGTAAGATAAGGCGGTCTTCCTATTATCACCGATGATATTCGTAATTGTAGCGGACTGGATTATGCGGAATACTATGGGGAGTGAGAAGACAGGACTACGTTGGACCGATAAGAAGACTGTAGAAGATCTTGATTTGGCAGATGATATATGTCTAATGTCACACAAACTCGAAGGCTTACAAGCGAAAAGCAACAAACTGGCTGAAGAAGCAGAGAAGATAGGACTCCAAGTGAACACAGAGAAGACGGCGGTGATGAACATAACCAATCAATAGCAACAACAACCAGCACGAATCACCATCAACAGGAGAGATTTAACAAAGGTTACCTCCTTCATTTATCTGGGAAGCATTGTTTCAACTACAGGCGGAACGGAAGAAGATGTCAAAGCTGGCCAGCCAGAATCGGCAAGGCGAGATACGCCTTCATCAACCTGAAACCAGTTTGGAAATCTTCAGCAGTCAGCATGAGGCACAAGATTCGCATTTTCAACACCAATGTCAAGTTGGTTCTTCTACACGGGTCAGAAACTTGGCCAGCGTGTAACGAAAAGGATTTTCAACAGGTTGCTGCAGACTTTTATCAACAGATGCCCCCTTAGCTGGCTCCATATTGAAGATAAAATGGCCTGCCGGAAAGAATAAGCAACAAGAACCTATGAGAACAAAACAGTCAAGAGCCGATTGCTCAAGAAATATGTTGGAGAAAGTGGAGATGGATCGGGCATACATTGAGGAGGCCGCCGAATGACATCGCACGCCAGGCCATCTCTCGAGTAGAATCCAAATGGGAAGCGACAAGTGGGTCGTCGGTGTAAGAGTGACATGGAGGAGATAGTGTGAGGAAGAGATGAGAGAGTTTGGTCAATAGTTGACTCATCTGAAAAGGAAAGCAGAAAACAGAAAAAAGTTGAGTTGTGTTGTTGAAGCCCTATGTTCCACTCGGAACGCAAGGTTCTAATAGGTCATATTAACCTCTAGGAATAGAAATATGAATCTCAGAAAGAAATAGCTGTACGAAGAACAATAATGATTGCACTACCTCCTTCAAGACATGAAAATTCTTCACCATTCTCCTCATCAATCAGACTTTAACAAGTTTTAACATAATTACAAAAGGAAAGAAGTAATGATCAGAATAATTCTAGACAGAATGAATCATGGTTAAGAATAAAAATTTAGTTGTATTGATAATTTAAAGAGGATTCTACAATTTTTTTAAAACAAAAAACACCTGTTAAAAAAACTGTTTAGTTTAGAATTAGAATTGCCTAAAGTAACACAAAAGAAATGTAATTACACATTACAGCCGTCTAATTTCCATTCTAAATTCATTAAGTATTTAAAAAGTTATAATAATAACAACTAATAGTCATAAATCTACTGTAAGCCACGCATAAATAACAATAATATGATTATAAACGACATAGAAATTGGTTTTTTTAATTATCCCGCCATTCAAAATAATGTACAAATATAAACAAAAAATTATAATCCGAAGAAATTCAATTGATTTGTAGCGCAGCTTTTGAAAAAATAATATGATGAAAATACTATTATTGATATTATTCATGTTTATATAAGAATTAACAAAAGACTATTTGTACATATTCTGCTATTTGTTTTAAAATGCAAATATATTTAACAAAATTATAATTTATATATGGCACCAGTATGATTTGTACACTGGCTTAAAATGAATAATATAGCCTGCTTGATGTAGGTAGGGCAAAAGGTTTCTTTGAAAAATTAATGCATGTTTATTTTTTATGTTTGTTAAACATGCAGATGTTGATTCAAACGATTAGGTATACTTGTAAGAAATATTCAAACATGTATGAAATATTGATTGACCAGTTGTATTTTGTGTGCAGTGCCCTTGAATATGTTCAAATAATCATTTAAAACAAATTATATGATACTGAATCATTGAATTCCAGTAATAACATTATCCCGTCGTTGATTTGTGGTTTGATTTTATTGTCTCCTTTGGTTCCTAGAGGAAAATAGAGCTTCAGCCGCACATCTCCATTGCGTTCGGTTCTCTGCCAACGTTTTCACCTGGCTCCACGTCTGCCCACATGCTTTCATCTCCCCTTCACATGACCTCAATGTACCCCACCCTTGCACTGACGACCAACTCGCCGCTTCCTATTCGGGTTCTACTCGACCGATGGCCTGTCGTGTGATGTCACCTGATGGTTTGTTTTCTCAGAGTATGACCAATCCACCTCCATTTCTTCCTGAATATTTGTTGAACAATTGGTTCCTACTGGGTTGGTTCATTCCACCCAGAGATCCATGTTGCTAATCTTTTCTGGCTTTCTGACCTTGAGTAGTATTGAGCGAAGACAGCTACTGATAAAGGTCTGAAGCTTGTTCGAAGTACCCTTCGTGACGCGTTGACATATGAATTCATATTTACTTTCCCTTCTTACCTAACACTCAACGCCTGACCTCTATAATACTGACTGCATTATACTGACTAATACGGGAGATAGAACACAGACATCTAAGAACAAAGACAGTTAACCTCATATCCTTCACTTTCAATGACCGTGTCTCACAGCCACAAAGGAGGACAGATGAAACTTCTGCGCATCACACACATCCTTTGATCGATAAACGGATATAACATCTATGCTAGAGATGGAGTAAGTTATTAAGTGGCATACGAGCCTTTTGTATCCATGGTGAGATTTCGTTGGCAATCACTCTGTTGTGGTTGATACAACATCCAAAATAAGTGAAATGGTTAACACGATTTACCACTTGGCTGTCTAGATGTCAGTACAGTCTAGTCCTGTAGCATCATCTTACATTTTTATAGGAGCGAGTCTCATGCTAAACATTCTAAGACTGATGCTCAAGATGTTCAGAAGACTCTGAGTTTTATCAGTGTCTTCACCTAAGAGGACTATGTCATCCGCATATTCTAAGTCAACAAGACCAGTCCCTGTTAACAATTCACTCCTTAAGTCGCTGAATTCATTTAGGGTCAATTCCTTTAATGCATTTACGATTGAATTAAACAGAAAAGGAGACATCGACCGATCCCCGACGAACACCACTGACTGACATCACTTTAGATGGAAACTCTTCGTAAGTCCTTACATGGCCTCATGAGTTTGAGTAGAGTGCCTTATTCAGTGTGATTCACTTTGTCGAAACTCCCTTCACCGCTAAACATTTCCATGGTACCTCTTGGTCAAAAAAGTCGAATTCTGACTTCAGGTCATGAAACACAGCGATAGCTGAACACTGGTAAGTATGATAATATTCCAGAATCTATCGAAGCATGAAGATAAGACCAATACATCCTCTTCTTGGTTTAAAATCTGCCTGATTTTCTCGTGTTTGTTTCTTCTGAGTGCCTGGAATTTTAGATAGTATATTAGTGAAGCTAATCCGCTTATGATTATCGCATTTAGTATATATATATATATATGTATATAATGGTGTATCTTCCTCTCCCTTGCTTACTGAAGCTGGAGTTCCTCAGGGTGCTGTTCTTTATCCGTTTCTCTTTTCCTCCTTCTTACATGATTTACCTCTCTCAGATGAAATCAACTTCGTCAAATATACAGACGACCTGTCTGTATCGTTTCCCATTAAGTCTCAGTCACACTGTCTCAAATTAAATAGCTTCCTGTCAGACATCAGTCAGTGGTCCAAACTAAATGGTCTCATGCTGAATCCCTCAAAATGCCAGACTACTGACTTCTCCCTTAGGTATAAACGAGATCTACAAACACTAGTAAGTTCTCATGAAGACTGTTGCATTGAGGGGACTAAAACTGAAACTAAGTCTAATGCAAAATACCTCGGTCTAGTTCTATCTTCCGACCTTACTTGGACATCTCATGTCCTAATGATTTCTAAGAAAGTGTTCTGTCTTACCTACTACATTAAAAACTTAGACAATCTGGAATCAGCCAACCTCTACTTTCACAATTTGTCAACTCTTGTATCTTACCTATTCTACTTTATTGCTCCCCGTTAGTCTTTCCTGGGCTACTGAAAAAGAACTATACCATCCTGAGAAGGATGTTGAA